TAAAACAGTAATCCACTTGACGTATAATATACATATGCAGCAAATTGGCGTCCACTCGCGTGGCGGACAGTCGACGGCTGCGGACGGTCAGTGGACGGCTTTAGGCGGTCGGTCGACGGCTGCGGACCGCGGCTGGAGGTCAGCGGCGGCGTGGCCGGTCCGCGCGCCGGAAGTATAGTACACGTCCGCGGATGGCGGCCGTCGCGCGACACACGCGTACTGCACGGTGGACGCGACCGCCGTGCTGAACGCTCCGGCCGCACCGAACGCGACTGTATTACACGCCGTCCGGTGTGGTCGTCGCCGTCACCAAAAACTGGCCGGGCGCACGCCGAACGGCACAAATTGATCGGACGACCACAGGTTTGCCGTCACCGCGGCCGTCTTCGATGTCGCCACTCGCACCTGCAGCGGCTTTGAAAAACTCGCGTAACTGCGTCCGGCCCGTGACCACGGTTCCGCGAGCCGTTCGCGCTCACTTCCGAGTACCTGTATTGAACGTCCTCTGAATAAAATATAGCGACACGCGTCTTCCGGGGTGTTACATAGAGTGTTGCGTGTAATAGCGTATCCGACCACTTCGTGGCCGACGACAATCACGCGCCGCGGTCGTCACTGTACAACTCGCCGCTGCCGTCCACATCTCCAGTGCTTGATACACAGTTCATCTGTGACGCAGACGCCGACGCCGGAACTCACGTCCGTATTCGGTCCTCGATCCTCAGTCGATTTCTGTTCTTTTTCGGATTTGTTCTGTTTACGGGTGCGCCCCGTGCAACAAACCACAAATACGTTCAAGAATTTGCTCAGATTCTTCATTTTTTTTCTCTCTCTTTCGGGGTAGCTAAAGTTTCGAAATGTATACTGTAATACAGATAACTGAAACAAAATGATGTATACCTAAATCGTTCGTACATAGCCAACGATCTCTCTCGAATTTTAAAACTATATTATCATAACATATTGGAATTTTACCCTTTGCAAGTTCTTTGATTTAATTTGTCGCAATCTATAGTTACTCGTTTTTTTTTTTTTCCATTAACAGATGAAAATAATTATGTGTTCTTAATATCTCGATAAAGAAGTCAAAATAATTGTAATTAAAGAAACAGTAATAATTATTGGTCGCCGATTAATCGACAAACACGTTTTTGCTTAAAACTTCGCCATGATTCCGACCTGACTCTCGTAGTGGATATAGTTGTATGTTATTTGCATCAAATATTAAGTTATCGTCTTTATTATGTCTAGGATATGTGTAGTTTATCTGTGTCTCCTAACAAAAATAAAATTGTTTGTATAAGTCGTAATGAAAAATATCATACGAAATGTGCAGGAAATTTCACGACGTAATCTGAAAAGCATTCCTGGATATGTGAGTCGCGCATTCTTATTAATAAAATTGAAAAGAACCTTACTAGTAGTAAAAAACGTAACTCTTCTAATAAAGTTTTTTAAAGTATAACTATTCAACTACTTTTAAATGCGTATACCCATAAATTTATTCACGAATACACCTCTAGTTATAGATATATATATATATAAATACTTAGAAATGAATAAAAAAAAAATTATAGAAACCCAAAAGAAAACAACAACTTGGGTTTTTGTCCATTGAAATATAATATCATAGTGCGCCATACCATGAATACAATATAGACAGGTTAAGGTTTTAATACTTACGGTTTATGTTATTTGTTATATTTTATTATAATTTTTTCTTTATACTATCGTGGCGATTATTATGTTATTGTCATGGTTCATAACTGCAGTTATTATAATATAGGTATATCCGTTAAGAGTGGGTATATGTTTATATACTGGCTGGTTTTCTTGCAAGGCATTCGGTTAAATAAATAAAACGGTTTAAAAAAAACATACTGGACAAAGAAAAATGTACACATGTGCACCGTACAGCAGAGGTCTTGACGGTTGTTTGTTATTATTAAATTTATGAACGATGGGATACGGTAAGTTTGTTTTTATCCAAATTCGATTTAAAAATAATATTGAATTATTTTTCGTTTTGTATAATTGTATTATTACGATGTATTATACTATTGTAAATTGTAATATTAGGTATGTAAGTCATACTTATTAAAATTTTTTCGACCCAATTAATTCGTTATTAAGAATAATTAAATCATAATCATTTTAAAAATACATGTCGGGTACATAACAGCTATTATGTACAGTGCGGGTGTTACGCGGATGTTATACCCATTCTCACATTCTATTAATTATTATTAAATAATAATAATAATAATAATATAATATTGTGTAAGTGTCTATACTGGATGAATAACTTTAGTTGTTCAAAACCTAACTCTACAAATACTCCAGATAGTATATACAGATATCTATAACATATTATTATATATGAATATAATATAGTACAATGATATTTTGCATTCTGTATTTACTATAGCACTCAAGTTGTGCAACATACATATTATGTACGCGCTATCCAAATATAAATATTACCTATACATTTCGCGAAAGACAATTTATTTATCTTAAACATAATATATGCAATGAAAATCATAATATGTACCTATACGATATCAGTACATATCTCACTTTCACATCGCAATGTACAATGTATAATATTACTCGCCACGTCTATTCTTATCGCATATACTTTATAATCCTGTGTGATGTGATGGATGTTCTTAATTTTTATTTATTTTTTTCATATGATGCATGACTTTTGCAATAATTTTACATTTATTTATATCAATATACACATTAATCATTCATTCGTTTATGTAATATGTACAATAGAGCATTGTATTTTTAACTGCTGTTTTGATATATATTTTACTAATATTTTTTTTCAATACTCGACATTCGACAATCCAAAATTTCCGGCTTCTATATATTTTATTTATTATATGGCAAAGCAATATAGTACAAAATTTAACACTTTCCAAAGTTTTAAATTTTAAAACTTTTTTATACTTTCAACTTAAAGATACTATTTTACCCTACATATTTGATATTAATATTGATAACAACATAATTATGTACCTATATATTGTAAATAAAAATAACAATATTTTTAACTAACAGTTTGTGAAAATAATTATTGTATTTAGTATATCACCATTAAGTTAGTTTTAAAAATGTATAAGACCTGTTATAAATTGTTAACTTTTGCAAAATCGATATTTGTCTAGATAAAACAAATGTTTTCAACCTTAGGTTTCTATCGAAATCTAAAAAATATAGCAAAACAAAACATAATAAACTTCTTTTAAGTAAGTTAATAATGGACTATTAGATCAAAACAAAAATATCAATTTTTTTTTTTTTTTGGTAAACTTGTTATTTGTTAAAGAAATAAACCAGCAATAAGAAAATCAAAGAATAAAATATTATAAAATTGTATCATAACAAATAAAATAATAGCATAGGACATAGGTACATTGTTTTCGTTTCGTATATTCAATATGCAACACAAATACCTAAATAAATATACTATTTATAATACAACGAATATAATTTTATTAAAGCAGACGCACATAAGATTCCGATTTGTATAACCTAACTATACTGATTTTATACTTATTAGTACATATTTTAGAAGTACATAAATGATTACTCATTTAAATTAATACATGATTAATTGATAATTCGTACAATGCGTCAAAGTAAATTCTAAGACATATATATGCATACCTTATACCTACATATACTATATATATAATGTAATGCCTTGCAGCATTACATCTATATGTTTCTATATACAAGATTAAGTATGCAAAATTTGCGAATCGAGCAAAACAGTGATTATTGTTATTCCGATTTAATAAATATAAATATCTAATTAAACACACCACTCGCATATAGATAGATGAGATCGATGCGATTGTTTGATTGTATTGTAGGCAATCATTGTTTATATATTATAATATTTAAGTTCTCGTTTATTGCTTGCTGCACAACTATCGACCAAAACCACTCGATGTAATAATTTAATTATGATTTTTGACCGTTACTGAAAACCGTAAAAACGTGTGTATATACAAGCATCCCGCGCAATATTATATGTCTCTGAACAGACAAGATATAGGTACCTCTATAATAATATTATATATATTATTATTATTATTTTGTGTCGGCACTTGGAAATATAATTCATGACCATTGTAGACCGCGTTCCACCTTCATACACAGACCAAGTAAAAATATAATCCACACATATACAATTTTGATCGCACTTATCGCAGTTTTAAAACGGCTTGCGGGCACCATGAATGACGTGACATGAGAATTTTCACACACTTTCACACACATATATAGGTAGATACAGAATGATGGTGGCTACCTACTGAAAATTAATATAATATTAATGTAATATGCAGTTAGTTAACGCAACAGGTCTGGACTTTTATCATTTTTTATGAATAGATAAACAAAACACAATATATTTATTAACGTTAACAGTAATTTATTTCATGTTGTTTTATTAAAAATAATAATAATAATAATCAATTTTAAACGTTAGAATATTGATACGCAATATATACGCGTAGGTATATCGATCAATTTTACAATTAGATGATTTATTCGTTTTTCACAATATATTATCTAACTTTATACAGGATTTACAAGAACAAGAAAAAAATAATATTTATACGAGTATTATAAGTGTAACATAATTGCAGTTCAAAAACATTGCTCTATATTATTGATAATCTAAAAATCGTTTAACACAATATAAATAATAACTTTTCCCAAAAGGGTTAAACACATTAGTAGTCGGGCAATTAAATACTTATACGCACCGTAATTATTTACTTATTATATATTATGGACGCGTAGACCGTTTAGGCAAGTGCTTATTCCATTAAAAAATATTGATTGGGCAAATAAGTATGAATAAGGTAAATTAATTTATACACTGTATATAGTAACCAACAGCATCGATTGAATAATAAAATAAAATCACATAGGTACAATTTACATAATTAGTAAATGACTATCGATTTAAAAAACATGTTTGTACAATAATATTGTAATTTAGTAATTTATAATGGTGTCAACAAAAAATAATAAAATAATATAATCGCGTTTCGCGTGAAATAATAGCTTTTACTTGCCCAAACTGACTACTACATTATATATCTTAGCGAAAAATAACAATATTAAATTATATGCGTTGTAATTTATACACTATCTATAAATGTACATAATAATATAATACTACCATTAAACTGGGAGAAAAACGATCGAGTAGAATGACACCGCAAATAATGATGTAATGTAATGAATATTTTACGGGTTGAACATAATATGTAATAATATATTCATCGGTGGCAGAAATTTTAAATGTAACAGCCTATGCTTTTCGTATACATGCTATATGTATAAATTGTCGTGCACAGCAGACAAATATATCGAATAAGAAATTTCGAATTATTCACATTTGACAGTTAACAGGAAATAATATAGTATAGCGTCTTTTATATTATATCATACATTTTCAAAAGGGACTAACCAAAAACTAGATAAGATTTCGCGAGTACCTAAATATAAAGTATAATATGGATACCTACGATCGTACCTACATTATAAGGTACACTTTGCCGGATATAATTACGATATACCTATTAGGTACGACAAGTCTGTAATAATTGGATTTCTTATATTATTTTTCAAACATATCGTCGCATCACACGCAATGACGTCGACGCACTACGCAGACGAATCAGTAACAAAACGAAGTTGTAGGTAAATCAGTTGAGTACAATATCTGCGCATATATTATTATATAATAAAAAAAAATCGGAAAACGATCGCGTTTACCTCAGTCGACTAGTTCGGTTTTGCAGACGGTGTCGTCGGGCGTAGGGGTGGTGGCCTCGGCGTACGGCTGCAGCGTGGGTGGCGTGGGCGTCTGATTGCGGTCCTGCACGATGACGGCGGGCCACGGGCCGCCTCCGATCATCCTCTGCAGGCCCAACGACTGGCGGAACGCATTCAACCTGTGCGCGGCCTGCAACTGCTGCTCGTAGTACCGCTGCAGCAGACCCGCAGGTTCCCAGACGCCGCCACCGCCGCCGCCGCTGCCGTTTCGGCTGCCGCACGTTATCGTCTCGTCGTCGTCGTCGCTACTCACGGTGCCCGCGCTGTTTCCGGTAGCGGTCAAAGCCGCCATCGGATCGTTCCGGTGCAACTGTTGCAACATGCGTTTCGGAGGATCCGGCGCCAGCAGGGACGCGACGTCGAACTGTCGTTTCTGCGCCCTCGCCGGCACCAAGAGCGCTGCGGACTGCTGTTGCAACTGCTGCTGTTGCTGCTGCTGCTGCTGTTGTTGTTGTTGCAGGACGCCCGCGGGTTGTGGGACTACGGGTTGGAAGTAGAACGGGTGATGCGGGTGACAGGCCGTGGACTGCCACAAGGCCGGCGGCGACCTCTGCTGGTGTTGGTGGTGCAAATGTGGCGACTGCTGGTGATGGTGCAGGTGGTGATGCTGCTGTTGAAGGGTCGGCGGTGGCGGCGGCGGCGGTGGAGGCGGACTGGGAGAATCGTTACCGTCGTCGTCCACGGCCAAGCCCATGTGCCGGCGGACCTTGCGCTGGGCCTTCCGGCGCCTGAAGTCGCCCTTCTTGAAGTCGTCCACGTTGGCCGGGTGTATGGCCCAATAGTGGCCCTTGCCGTTGGCCGACCGGCCGGCCTTGACGAAACAGTCGTTGAGCGAAAGGTTGTGCCGGATCGAGTTGCGCCATCCCGGGCCCCGGGTCCGGAAGTACGGGTAGTTGTCCAGTATGTACTGGTAGATATCGGACAGCACGAGCTTGCCCTCGGTCGATCCGAGTATGGCCATGGCGATCAGTCCGATGTAGCTGTGTTGCGGCTTGGGCTCGTCGGCCGCCTGCAGTCCGCCGCCCGCGCTGCCGCTGTTGGGATGGAACAGCGCGACCGGAAACCGCGGCTGGTAGATGGCCGCTGCCGCTGCCGGATATACCGGGCACACGGCACCCCATCCGCCCGACAACCGCAACCGTTCGGCCTGCAGCGCGTAATTGTACAGATGTAACCGGTACCGGTTGAGGTTGGCCTGCTGCGACGAGTCGGCGGCTGCGGCTGCGGCGGCGACGACGCCGGATTCCGAGCCCTGCTGCAGCTGATCGTCCGCGGCGGTGATCATGGCGGCCCTGCTGCACATGACGGCGGTACGGTCGCGAATGAATACAACGACAGCGCTGCACACGCGTCGTCCGCCGCGGTACACGTATATCTCTGTACGCGCGCGATTATTATTGGTGTACGCCTACGACGCGCCGCCGCCGCCGTCCCCACCGCCGGCCGGTCGTGCCGCGGTACAACAACAAATACACAAACATCGAAGCGGCCGTCGCCGCCGCCGCCGCCGTTGCCGCCGCCAAGCGTACGTGCGTAAATATATACAAATTTGTTTTATTTTCATTCTCCCGCGCACGTATATGTGTGCGTGTGTGTTCGTGTGTGTGCGTGCGTGCGTGCGAGCGTGATGTACGTTTTCTGTGTTTCGATTTCTGCGCTCTCCTTTTCGTCACCAATCCGTCGCCGTCACCGTCTCACGCACACTCACTCTCTCCCTCCGCGGCCGCGCGGTTTATTCTCTCCGCGTAGTTTCTCCGCGTCTCTCTCTCGACCCTCCCTCCACCCCTCCTCAACACCCACCCTCACACACACACACACACACACACACACACACGCGCGCACGCGCACACAATAATTCTCCGTTACCGTCGCCGTGCGTGTCGAGGGGTGAAAACACGAGTAAACATTCAGCGACGCGACCGATAGCTTCGTGGGCGGGACGGCCGGTCGGCGTTCCGATTGGTCCGGCCGGGCGCCGCCCCGTTGCGTGCACTCCGCCGCGAGTTACGGTTGCCACGGCGGTCTGCTGCAGTCCCGCCAGTCGCGTATTATGTGTTGTTACGTACCTACCACCACCTACGTTTAGGCCGAACGGCATAGGTACGCGCGAATAGCACAGAGTGAGTGAGTGAGTGAGTGAGTGAGTGCGAGAGAAAGTGAGGGGGGATCGAGCGAGAGGGATGGGACGGCGATATATTATTATTATTATTATTATTTATACACATAGAAAGGGGCGCGCGCGAACGATCGCGAGGGAGACAGATTTAGAATGTATATATGTATCATATACGTATATATATATATATATGTATATATATCGTGAGTGTGTGTCTGTGGTACTTGTGTATGGTAAAAAAAACAAATTCTCGTTTATATATGGTTTCTCTTTGAGATTGTATATTCGGTACCTTATATATACGTACCGCGACCGAAAATCTTCTCCGTCGCAATATGAGCGCGTGTGTGTGATGTACGAATTTTTTATCGTACAATAAAGCTAGGTATAAGGTATGTACGTACCTGGGTATATATAGGTTTCTGGGTGTGATAACACGATAAACCTCCATATAAGCTTTTAAATTAGATGAACATATGCTTACGATTTACGAATTTATTATTATTTATGCGGATATATTGCACATACGCGTGGAGTCGGCCGCGTTTCGGAAACCGTCGCTTTTTCTACGCACTGCCTGCGATTTACAATACGTATATACATACAGCGTCCTACACTATTATTTCATATATCGTAATTAAAATAATGAGTGTATTGAAACTTGGAGTTGGAACGTCTCTGTGATATAACTATGAAATAACTATGAAATATTTTTAAAATTATATAGGTACTATATATATACGTATATATCAATAATATATTTAATCATATTATAATATTGATTTAATTCGCGGTATGACAATCATATTATAATAAGCGCGAGTAAATTGTATGTTTATACATGGTAACTATTATATAAGTAGGTATGTACACAAAAAGCATGTATGTATACAGTGATAATGAACTTTTGTTAAAATTTTTAATACTTCAATAACAATACCATCATACATTTACATCATAACCTATATATATATAAATATAACCATATAGGTATACATATAGATAATATATACTCTATAATTGACAAAATTAACAAAACAATAAGCATAAGAGGTTAATATAGGTTTTCAAATTTCAAGTATTTTACCTCTTATATTTATATAATTAATAATGATATAAACCTAAATAAGTGTTAAAATAAATTGAAATATTTTTATCTGAATATATATCAATATCATTATCATTCAAAGTTATATGTATAGGTACACGGATTATTTTTAGTACTGTCATATGGGTAATTACTATTCTCTATGTTAAATAAGTACCGACCTATAATTTATATAGGTACCGTATTTATAATTACCATTTTAGATACATTTGTTGGGCAGGTCGATTTCCTCCAAAAAATTATGTACAGTTATTTTTTTCCTCCATTGTCTATTTTCTTCCAAACAGTTTTTTGGGCTAAAATTATAGGTATTTTCTGTTTCTTTTAAATATTAAAATTTTAGCTTATAATACCAATTATGAAAACGTATAGTATTAAGTATTATATTATAAAGGGAGAGTATATAAGGTTAAAGTATATCATACTATTTGTTACATCGATTACCGATTCAATTCTGTTAACAGATCCGTGGTTATACGAATAAATTTTTATATAGGTAATTACAAAAAGTAAAATTATTATCCATCTGTTTAATATACATCTTATCTTTTAACAAGTATTCTTTTGTTGCTAAAATGCCCTGAAAATTATGAAGAAATAAATTATTATTATTAATAATTCATACTTCGTTTTTTTTTTTCGTTAACATAAATTCATTAATGCATAAAATGAACAAATATAACGTTTATTATTTAATTTAGATTTAAACTTATGGCACCATATCACAAGCTATGCTTAATAGAAAACTATCATTTCATTATTTATTTTTTGTAAAATTAAAATGTGATGTATTGTTATTGAAAATTGTTGTTTGTATTATTATGATAATATATCACATTTTCAATTGAGAAAAGGCTTGAATAATGTACCTACTTAACATATTTATAATACAATACATGATTACCTATAAGCTGTAATATTTGTTTTACATTAATAAATTAATACCAGTATGTACAACGCATTATACCTATTATACCTACAAAGCCATAATTATTATATATTTATAGGTATTTCATTATTGAATTTCATTTTATTTTTTTTATTTTCAAGGAGGGAATTACTTATTGTGTAACCTGTAAGACTAACTGAAAAATAAGGGAATTCAGCACTCTCAATTTTTAATTGAAATTTTACCCCCCTGACTTACATAGTTTATTATTCCTGTATTTTTATTGAACGCAATGTTTAATAATAAATTATTAAAATCCACTACATATATATTGAATATATTATGATATCAGCATCGATATATTAATAATTTTTATTCGTTAGGGCTTAGGTACATATTAAAACCTACTATCTAGTATATACCTACCTAATAATATTATTATGCTATTAAATATTGACAGAAATATAATACTTAGGTATAAATATCTAAAAATTATTAATTATAAAAAATATATTAAAATATGTTTTTATATTTACAATACTTTACAATTTATATGTATATAGATTATAGATACTTGGAGATCGGGAGATATATATAAATATAGACACATTCACAACACAACAGTTAACTCTAAGATAAAATGTAATTTATCGGTATTAAAAATCACTTGCAGCAACAGTTCCATTAACAGATAATATTCGGTACACCAAATAAGTAGGTACAAGTACTGTACAAGCAGCGATATAATCAAAATTTGTAGTTTTTTAATAGCAGCTATATTATTTTGTGACCGACCGTACCTATATATGAAATGTAGTTATACGTTATACAATGGACTTTTTTTTGTCGTCCCGATCGAAAGGAAAATAAAGCATAGACATAAGTACGCTTGTTTAAATAAATATATACGAAATACGAGTATATGGTTTTTGTTTTATATAATATTTCTAAGCACTTATAAAAGGTTGTCGAGCGTATAGGTAAATATATATCTATGTATACTTATTATTATATATTTATGTATACCATATACACTAATATCGTATATGTACACAAACCACACCCATCACAGTACCTACACAACAAAAATCGCACATATGTATGTTGTATATATATATTTATATGCATACTTACCCATTTGTATATATATGAATACACACACGCTAAATAATAATAATAACATGTACGTGGCATAATGACAGGCTGACAACAATAATATATGTGTAACCGTGTCCATCCATTGTGGCAATATTGAATTTGAAAGGAGAGACCGCGCCTTTGAACCGGGCCATATGTGACGGAAAACATGTATATAAGGTCACTTTTTTCTCTCCTTTTTTTTTTTTTATCACGCCGGTCCGGGGGAAACTGCAGAAAGCCCAAGCAATAATTTAGTTATGCCAGTTTTGCTTTTTCTATATTTATTATGTATATAAAATAAAATATATATATATATGTATAGTTGTACGTCATACTGCATATTAGCGCACCCGACTATCGAGCGGCGTACTTATAAACCCCTTTTTGTCCTGCGGTGAGCGCGTCAATGTCATAATCGTGCAGCCGCAGCAAAAGCGCACGTACAATAACGGCGCGTATAACCCTGTGGGCTTATTATGTACTTAAATACGACGACGACGAACACGACCGCGACCAGCTATACATAATTTACACGCACACACACATATATATATATGTGTGTGTGTGTTTGTGAATGTATATCGAATTAGGAAAAAATCGTTTACCGCCGAGCGATTGACAATATATATGTATATTTAGTTGAGCTTATTATCATTACTATTAGCACTCGTGATATTATAATATATTGTTTAATAAGTAGCGTTTTGTGTGCGCGGACCAACCACGAATACAATATACAAACACAAAGCAAGTATTCTAATCCGATTATATGAGCAGTGATGATGTCTTTATACATGTATAATGTGTAATTTACCTACCCATTTATATACACGCATTTACGATACAGTTTCGATTATGATTACAAAATTAAAATAGCTTAAGAATCTACTGTGGTGTTAAATACACAATAAAAAAAAAAAAATCATCGAAATTTTAATATCTACTGCATGCAGAACATAGATAATTATTATATTATTCTTCTTATTATTATTATTTATGAAACGAATTCATTGCACGTAAACTGCAGCATTTGAAATACGCCATTTTAAAAGTGTGGTTCTTCAAACGCTTTTATTATTATCAGCTTTAGAC